TGCCATTTTATAGCCCAAAATGGGATAAACCCGTTGCTAGAATTTCCAACAGGATGAAGACAAATTTTTCAGGGACACAGGCTGATAGTCGATTGTCAAACCATGATAATCGATTATCCAAAGATTCCCTGTCCAAAAATTTAAAATTCTATCCGTTGGAGGACAACGGTAACCCAGATAATCGATTGTCAACAAGTGATAATCAATTATTGGTCCTCTCAGAAGATTCTGGGTTTTGGCTGCAAAGGCTGATAATCGATTATTGCAAAGCTGATAATCGATTATTGCGTGCTTCAGAACTTTGGAAGTTCAAAGCTGCAGTGGCTGATAGTCGATTGTCACTAAGGTGATAATCGATTATCACCCAGCTAAAGTTTAGCCAGCTGAAACCCGTTTTGAAAAACCGAGGTCCAAAAACGAAGTGTTCCCAAAAGTAAAAACCAAGTTTGAAAAATATTGTATATGGTATAAAATAGTGAAAACAAGACTTGTTTGGTAAAAACCAAGTCCTCAAGGTCGTAAATCACGTGCGTACAGTTTTGACCGTTTTTCACGTGTTAGACCGATTGACCAAGATACAAAAGTGGTTTTTATAAAATAATTATTTGGAAACATTTAAAATATGCTCAGAGATAAAAGCGAGGTTTAAAACATTGAAAACCACCGAGTTGGTTCGGGCGTCAAAAACCGAACGCCGAACACCGAGTGCCGAACACGGTACGCCGACTTAGGTGATTTTGGTTCTGAGCAAGGACCAAGGATTTAACAATAAACAATTTATCTAAAATGTTTATTTTGATGCATAAAAACATTTTATGATATTGTAAAATAATTTTGACTCTTTGAGAACCGAGACTTGAATTGATTATCGGTTTTGATCACAAAAGACCGACTCGACTAAGTCTTCAATACCTGATCTTGTCCTTGAGTCTTTTTGGTCATGTTCCATGCCATTCTTCACGCCTTGAGTTATTCAACGAAACTCTTCATATCCACGACGGTTTGGCAATTATCAAAACCTGTCAGAAATGAAAACCACTTTAGTTTAACGTACAAAGTGTCTTCCAACAATTTCCCCCTTTTTGATAATGGCAAACAAGACAGGGATATGCATAGGGTTTTGATCCTTTTTGAAAAAAAAAATTCCCCCTTAATAAAATTCCCCCTTAATATATGCATGGCCCTTATCTTCCTCCTTTTGACATTAACAAAAAGATTGTTAACAACAAAAATCATAAAGATTTTTATTAATTAATTAAGGGAAATAGCGGAGTACATAACGAAAGCATATTAAAAGATGATAAAATAAGGAAGAGAAGAAAGTAGAGCTAGAGCTCTAGAAATCCGGGGAAAGATCATTGAGAAGTTGTTCTTCGTCAATGTCTTCTTCTTCTTCATCATCTTCATCACCATCGCCATCATCATCATCATCATCATCATCATCTTCTTCTTCTTCTTCTTCATCATCCACCTCGTCTTCTCTACCAACGTTTTGAGTCCCACTTTGTTCACCTCCGAAATTCGGTGGAGGAACGTAAGGGACCATTTGAGCGTACGGGTAATTGACAAAGTCAAAATACCCGTGAAGTTCACGGCTCAAGGTATTGACGTTGTGTGCCGTTTTGGAGACGTTAGTGTCAATCCGAGAGAGAGTGGCGGTTAAGGCTGCCATTTGCTCGGCGAGAGAAGGAATGGTCGACGTGGTGGCGGCTGAGGCAGTGGCTCTCGGTTGTCGGCGTGGATGAGGCTGTCGAAACGAAGTCTCGTCGGTGCCCGAGTGGAAAGAGGATTCATCAATCTCCCAATGCTTTGTCCCCTTTATCTTTGGCCCAACATCGGTTTTGATGTTATATTCTTCAAGAATCGCCATGACAAGGAGGGCGTAGGGGAGCGGCCGGTTGTCGGAGGTGGCATTGAACATGTGGATCATCACAAATTTACACCAATCGATATTGGCGTTGTGAATCATCGCATGGATCGTCTTCGTGTCTTCTTGGGAGAGAGTGGTGTGGTTGAACTTCCTGGGCTTGAGGATCCGTGTCAACACATAGAAGATGAAACGATACACGGGACTCATGGAAGAAATCGTAGGGCGCCGCTGTTGGGGAGTGGGTACGAAGTGTCGGATGCCCACTTCCTCCAAGAGAGCGGTCTCATTGAACCGCGCTCCTTCTTCTCCGACGTAGAGCCCGAGATCCTGTCCGTCCCGTCGAAGCCCGGTGAGGATTTGAATGTTTTCCTCATTCAAATAAATGTC